CAAACGTTTGTTAGACAACGTTAAAATAACACCGTTATGCCGACGTTGTAACATTGTTGGAATTTAGTTAACTCGCGTCGCGACCAAAATCCAACCAAATTACAACAACGGCACGACGTCTTTTTCTTACTGGGGATACTTTACAAAACTCTTATACAAACTCATAATAAAACAATTAATAAATTTTAAACTATAAAAATATTAAATTTTTAATAAAAATTAAACTCTTGAATCTTGATTATAATTCCCTAATAAAATTTCCAAACCATCATGCCAATTTTTTATTTTTTAACAAAAATGACTAGACATCAGGCCTTGCGGTAAAGCGTCGGGCGATATGAATTTTACGTCGTCCAAGAGCGATTTTGCGTGTAGCTAGGGCTATTTGCGTCGAGCAAAAAAATTTTTGTTTCAGTATATTTAAAGATTTTAAGCGGAATTTTAATGAAGTAATTTACGATTATTTTAACATTTAATAAAGTATTTTAAAAACCGCACGCAGTTGAAATAAAGGTTTGAATTAAAAAAAAAATAAATATGCTCATTATTAGAAGAAGAAGAAAAAGAAAAAATTCAGATTAAAAAAAAATTATAAATCTTTTAAGCTAACATTTTAATAAAATTATTCAGCAATAGCAAAGTTGTTGATAAAATTGAACAAAAATACTTTCTTTTAGTTTCAGATTTTAAACTTAAATAATTATTTTACGGGGGTTTGTTAGGTTTAAAAAAAAAAGATTTAAAAATATTTATTAACTGTAAGACCTATTTAAAGTATTTAAGAGTAATTTCGAGGAAACATTTTAAAAATTGGTGAGCGCAAATTAAAAAAAAAAAAAAAAAGGAATAATATTAAAACGTATTCTACTTGATTCAATAAAAAAGTACAGTTATTAAAATTTTTGTAAAAAGTACCTCAAAAAAATTACTTAAATAATAACGATGGCTTTTATGTTAAAAGTTACTGAAACTCAACGAGGCATGCTCAAGAACAGCTGCTGAAAAATAAAACGTCCATAGTTTTTCGAATAATTTTTATGAATAATTTTTTCGGTGAAATATTTCTTTTATACCTATAAGATTTTTGTTCTAACATTTTATTTTATATTCTTTGAAATAAAATTCCTTTTTAACATTAAAAATCTATTCAAAACGTTCGTTTAAGTTTTTTATTAATACGAGTGATTGTGCTTATCAACCGCTTTAAGAAAATAAATAAAAATAAATAAATATTATATAAAATATATACTACCAATTGAAATATACTACCAATTGAAATGCCGCCGCTTTTTATTAATAAAATTAATGTCAAAAGAGTAACTTACACTAAACTTTTAGGTATTACAGTAGATGAAAATCTTTTATGGAAAAACCACATATAAAATAAAAAAATAAAATAAAAAGTATTAGGATTCTATATAAAACAAGAAGCAATTCAAATAAACATACTTTAACTCAACTATATTACTCGTTAATTCACTGCCATATTAACAATATTGCCTGAGTTAGTACCAACCAAATTAAGTTGAAGCCTTTATTTTGTTAACAGAAGCAATTGACACGTCTTATTAATTTTAAAGATCGTTTTACTCATGCATATCATTATCATTTCCTAACTGATAAATATAGAACATATTGTTTAGAATTTTATGTTTTTTGAAAGATCCACAATTTGGTTTAAAAAGCAACAACATTTTTTATAATTTTTTTTTTACTATATATTTAACTTCAAAAAAGTTTTATTATGCAGCCCCTATAAGAATAATAAAATATTTACTCCATTTACGCAAGTTATTTAAGTGTGGTAAATAAATGCAACGAAGAATTTCAGATATCACGATGATAAGAAAAGCAGTTAGTGGGCGATTGTCATTAAACAATTAATTTTACCATCAAAATACTTTAATTTTATTTTAACAATCTAAAAGTTTTTTTGATTTATTTTTAACGAACATGAAGATCGTTAAAATAAAATCAAGACATTTTGATAGCAAAATAAATTGTTTAATGACAATCGCCCACTAAATACTTTTTCCATAACGTGATATCGGACATTCTTCCCAGTTGGCAAAAGAACGTTTTGCGAACCTTTTTTTAATGATCCCGTAGAAACGTTTTTTTATGGTTTTTTAAACTTCCAAATGAAACGGTGAACAGACGTTTCTTTTAAAAACGTTTTGTGAACGTTTTTAAATGGACCTACAAAAACGTTTTTCAGTGGTTTGTTGAACCTCCATATGAAGCGATGAACGGACGTTTTTCTGAAAACGTTATTTATTGGTTTTTATTACGACTAAATAAAACGTTATGTCGTTTTTAACATTTTAATAACAACCTTTTTTTAAGTATCAGCTATTTAAGTAAACAACTTACGTTGTACAGAAAAAAACTTTTCCTCAAATTAAAACTAAGGTGTAACAGTATAGATCCGGATAAATAACAGATATTATTAGCATTATGTGTTTATAAACATTTAAGGGATACAATAACATAATAAAGTAGTTTTTTTCGCTATTCTAATAAGCTATTTATTCTCTTCAAACAATCGCTTTTCAACTTTTTGACCAAATCGATATTTGCTGTATGTGATACTGTTTCTAAAAAAGAAGAGTACCAAGAAATCTTTCATGCAATTCACCAGCATGTAGAAAAAAAGGTATGAAAATAAAAGTTACAATAATAAGAAATGAAAAATGGAAAATATCACACAGTATATTAAAGGACTAATATAAAAATTTAAAAAGTACTTATACTTACTCTATTCAATAAAGTTTTTTAAAAATGATCTTTTTCCATAAGTTCCAACTTTTTTAAACAAGAGTAGAACACATTTTGACATTATTTCATCCAAAACATTATTAACTGAGCTGAAAAAAACCTTCTCAGTATTGCACGTGCATATACAAAATATTCAATTAACTTTATGTTTATACTCAACCTCAATGAACGTTTCATAAATTTGTCGAAATTTTTTTTTTTAACTTATAGCTTGATATTTTTTAAAGAATTCAAAGAATTTTTCAAAAAATTGCTTTGGAGTTGGAATCAGAATCGGAGTGAGAGTCGGAGTTGTACTCAAAAATGTCAACAACTAGAGTAGGAGTCGAAGTTGTTCCTTTTTTTTTACAACTCCACACCTCTGGTCAAGATAAAGTTTTGTCAATATATAATATACTTACTTTTATAATTTATTCTGACGAAAAAAAGTAAACAATAAATATTTGCGTATTTGTTAACCTAATATACAGTCATATTCTTCAAGTTTGTATAACCAATTATTGTTACTACAAAATAAAATAGTAACAATCATTGATTATAAAGTGTTTAGTTTTTATCTCAACCATACCAAGTAATATATATGCATTGAAACCAATAAATAATTATTATGTTTGGAAAGATTTTTCTAACTGCAGGTTTATCTATCATATATCTATATCTCATATATCTATCTGCATATCATACATCTATCATATATCTGTATATCAATCTATTTATCATATATCTATATTAATCTATTTATCATATATTTATGTCAATCTATGTATCTATCTATATATATATATAAATATATATATATATATATTGCTGTATATATATATATATATATATATATATATATATTTAAAAATATATATATATATATATATATATATATATATATATATATATATATATATATATATATATATATATATATATATATATATATATATATATATATATATATATGATATATATATATATATATATATATATATATATATATATATATACATATGTATATATATATATATATATATATATATATATATATATATATATATATATATATATATATATATATATATATTTATATATTGCCAAAAATAGTAATTTGTGATTATTTTAAAGATTACTTTCTTTAAATATACTGACTCGGCTTTTAGTGAATGATTGCAATAATAAGTTAACTAAATGAAACTATTATATTAATCGTTTGAAACGATAGACACCACGTGATGGTAAACCAAAGCCGTCTATCAAAAATATTTATGAGGTCACAACACTTTTACTATGATTTTGTCAAGTCATAACATTTATAGTATTTTTTTTGAATAGAATAAGATAACACAATATATGTAACTTATAATAAACTGTTTAATTATTTTAAAAATAATATTGTTATTAAAAAAAAAATTTGTAACAAACTTTAAAAATAAAAACAGGTGAAAGAAAAATATCTTTTTCTTTATGGTGTAATCTGATTAATAAAATTGAAACTCTCCAGAAACAACATTAGCAGCAAGCTGTATCTTTTTCATGCAATGGTCAACAGTTTCAATATCAGTTTCATCATCTTTTTAGTAAGAAATAGTGTGTATTGAGTCATTTTTTCTTACTATCATTTTTTTCTACTCTGCAATTATATAAAACATATTTGCAAGCGTTTGGATCATACCCTTTGTGGTCTAGTTTTTCCCCAACAATTCTCCCTATTATAACATCTACTAAATCATATAGTTAGTAGTTAGATAAGTGTTTATGATATGAATTTATAATTTCATTAAAACTGAGTTTTGATTGTTCACGCTCTAACTTCCTTTTATCTTTTTCATCAATTTTTTGGCGCCCCAGTGGGCAAGCGGACGGCTTTAGGACGTCTTTAAGACGTCCCGATTGGACGTCTTAAATTGGTTGGATTTGGAAATACAGAAAGTTCCTGCGTGGAACGTTTTAAAGACGTCCCAGAAGGAACGTGAAAAAGACGTCCTAGGAGGAACGTAAAAAAGACGCCTTACGAGGAACATAAAAAAGACGTCCCGATAGGACTAAGAATTGAGTTTAATTTAAGTTACAGTTTAGAAATAATGAAAAACATTAGGTATGGAATGCCATAAATAGGTCTTATTTGGTGCTTATTTTTTTATACGTTAGTTTTTAGACTTAATAATTACAAATACCATTAGAAAAACAAGAATTCAACACAAAAATTAGTAAAGTGAAATTTATTTACAGAATTAATTACAAATTAGGTTCGATGCATCTATCACTTCCACTATCGACAATTTCTAGCACCAAATTTTTTTGATCTGGACCACGTTTAAAAATGTTGCTAGCAAATGAATGAACTTTATTCTAAAAACACAGTCTAATATATAAGCTATAATATCTTATACAAAATTTTCAAAGTCAACTTTTGCAACTGATTATATAAGAGTTCACAGTTGATTTTTGTGCGAGTGTGAGTTTTCAGTATTTAAAAATTCGTCAAAACTAAGCATACAAAATACTATACAAAATATATTACATTAACAGGTATACCTATAATTGTCTTCATTAAATTTGTTTCACGAAAACTCTTTTTTTTACCAGCTGAGTTAAATAAACTCATCAGTTTATTTTACATTATTCTAAGTAAACAAATGACAAAAATAAAATCAGATCAGATCATAAGCAGTTTAAAAATTATGAATATAAGTTCATTTACAAGTCCAAATTACCCAGCCAGCATTTGGTCCGAAAAGAAAGTTTTTCAGGATCAAATGCGGGCCAGGTATGTTCTGCTAAAATACATTTAAAAATTTTTTTTAGTAGAATATAATTTCCAAACTTACAACATATAACATTCTACAATTATATATCACAAATGTGTTTAAGATTTACATCCATGTTTCCACACATGTATGGTTTAGATGGTTCTCCATAGCAATGGCTCTCTCAAAAAGATTTGATGCCCAAACGTCGTATGGATGGCGTACAACCTGCTTAGGCAGGATGTACTACATGGTATCAGTAGCAAGATAACCTGACTTGACGCTTGACAAACAGACCTAAAAAAATATGGATATGAAAAGAAATTACGTCATGCACAAAAAGAAAACAGTAGATAAAGCATTAATGACATTAAAGAAGACAGACATCAATATCTGTATTTTGTGTCACAAATATTTAATATTTGTGACAGTAAAAACTGAAACTACAAATATATATTTTTATTATATTTTAGTATAAAAATGTATAAGTTATAATCTTTTTTTCTGTTAATTTATTTAAGCTCTTACCTTAAAAAACCTTTATAAAGTCAGTGGCAAATGCAGGTTTTTTTAGGTTCCATATTTGACACTTTCAGGCTTTGTGCATACTTTAAACTTTTTATGTCTACCTGGAATGACAATGAAAAAAATAAATTATAATCTATTATTTGTTATAAATAATACATCATATCCAGTTTAAACAATTTGATTTACGTTTAAGGAGAGCATTACATATGAGAAGAGTATTATGTATTACTATATTCTTTTTTACTTGTTTATCTATCATATTTAATGTCCGTCTGTTAGAATATAAAAAATTGAAAATAAAAATCCAGAATTTCAATAAAAAACACAAAACTTTCATTACTGGGTGTTGCAGGTGTGTTGTCTTTTTCATATCTTTGTTTTTATACCTAATTGTATACATTTTGATAAGAATTGGAAAAGTTATAATATTTGAAGTTACGAAAAACTATCAATTTTGTCATTATTTTTTCAAAAAATCCTTGCAAAATTTTCTAATAAAAATATCATGTAAAATTTTGATTTTTTCACCATTAAAATATAAAACAATCATATTCTAACATTAATAAATGTATTATTTAATTTGTTTGTGCACTAAATGTTAAATCATTGATATATTAATAAAGCTTTATCATCGTATTTCTATTAAATGTTGCAAAAGTATAATAAATTAAAATTATATATATATATATATATATATATATATATATATATATATATATATATATATATATATATATATATATATATATATATATATATATATATATATATATATATATATATATATATATATATATATATATATATATATATAAAAGTGCAACTTTCAGCATAAAATTCAAAATTCTATGTAGATGAAATGTAGAAATAATAATCATAAGAATACAGTAAACTCCCAATATCTCAAACCTGAGATAACTCGAACTTTCCTGTAACTCAAAGTACTTTCGATTATTATTAGTAGTACACATATATTTTTTTTTACTGTTATATCTTGTTACTATATTATATATGTATGTTACTATATTATATATGAATCGATTCATATATATCATATTGTCATATATATCATATTATGATATATAATATAGTTACATGTATTTATAATATAGTAACAGGGATTAGGTTATTGACTGTTAACTTCAAAGAAAATAAAATTAAATATGTATATAAAAATAATGCAAATTTAGATTTATTGACTGATTTTTATTATATTATTACTGTATGAGTATAAAATCTTAATTTTATAATTTTATTTCCTGACATTTACATTTTAAGTATTACGTTTAAAAAAAACAAACTGTAATACTTAAAATATAAATGACAGTAAATAAAATAGGCTTTTATACTCATACAGTAATATAATAAAAAAATTAGTTAATCTAAATTTCAATTTTTTTATATTTATCTAATATGACATAAAAAATAAAAGTAATGAATTTAATAATGACATTCGTGTCATTATACATAATAAAAAGGTTTTTTAAAACTGAAAGTGATAAATTTTCTTATTTTCGGAACGGACGAGAAAAAGACGTTCATAAGACGTCTTAGTATAGTTCATATTGTGAATATATCGAGCGGACGTGAACTGAACGTACAAAAGACGTCTTTTTTCCGTCGTGTGCCCACTGGGGCTTGGATGCTTGTTTTTTGGCAAATCTCAGCTCCAATTTTACCATGATGCAGTCAACCTCTAAATCTATTTAACATGTGAGACATTTTTTTAAGAAGTTCTTCATCAATAGAGCATAAACTTGTTATTGATTCTAAAATGTTTGGCTTAATCGATTTTCCAAAAAATTTAGTTTGTTACAAAATAACCCTGCTGGATTGAATTTGTAAGTTTAAACTGTTTATATAACATTTTTCACAACCTGGATACCAGCAACATGATCAAAAGTTGTTTTCTCTGATGTGATATTAAACATTCTCCTTCAGGGTCCAGTAAGAAGTTTTCCAAATACTGCTAGCACACACATTTGTTTGATTGCGATTCACTACAAAATGCTTCTTGAAGAGTTGCTTGCAAACTTTTACAATTAACTGTTTCAGTTAAAAGGTAATGTTTAAATTCACTGTAATGCTTTATCAGAATAAAACAAATACAAAAAAGAACTTAATGCGGTTTCCATGATACCTTGGAATGATACCTCATTGCAACTTATTATTGTCTAAAAAACTTACAAAACCTTTTGAATCACCTTTTACATCTTTATATCCCATTTTGTTTATAGCTAGAATAATCAAAGTTGACATGCAATCCTTTCCATATAATTTACAACTCTCATTCTTTAGAGACTTTAATGCTAAACCATATGTGGCAATTGTATCAACATGGTACAAATGGCAGTTTATTTCATTGAGATTTTGTGCCCAGGTTTTACAAACTTTACTTACAGAAAGATGATTAACAGCAGCTCAGTCAGACATTGTGTTTGATATGTTTTTAATAATTGAATTACCAGATTCATTATAATTTCACATTTAAAAATCTGAATAAATAAAAGCTACATAACCAATGACATTACATATATGGTTTTCATAATCATCAGTTTACTTACTAATTATTTGTTTAGTCTATAAAAAATATGATCTTCAAGTAAACTTTCACTTAGCTAAAAATAATCCTAAAGTTGACTAGTTTTTGCTTTTAGTAAATGTAACAACTAGTATTACTAGTTGTTGTATTTGTATTACTAGTTGTTTTAGTAAATGCAAAAACATGCTAATTGTAGCTTTTAATAAAAGCAACAACTAGTCAACTTCAGGATTGTCTTTAGTTAAGTTAAAGTTTACATCTGTTAACATATTTTACCATTTTTCAAACTAAAATTTGAATTAAAGCAAAGAAACGTTAAAAATAGTCAATTAACTTTATGTTAAAATAAATAAAATTTTCATATTTCAAATTAGATATTAATTAAATAACATGGTAAACCTTCAGCTATATGACTTTCCTTACTTATTTTATTATTTAATCGAAATCATATATAAAATAAAACAATTGATTGCCCTCTCTGCCTCCCAAATAGACATCAAGTAAAAATAAGAATGAGATACCAACACTGCGACAAATAATAGAGTGCCTGCGACTATTAGGAGTTCAATGAAATTGAAGATAAATGAAAAGCTAAAATAAAAGAAAACTTAGAAAAAAAATTTGTTAATATCTTCGACAATAATTTCATCCTGGAAGTAAAACCAAATTTTTGACATGATTAAAAACACCAATAACGCGTATCAAAACAATTATAAACAACACAGTATTAAAGTTCAACTATTCTAGTTTTCAAAACTACTCTATGTTGATATCAAATACTAAAAAGTTTTCCAACAAAAAAACTCTTTACCACGCTAACTCAAAGCAGACTTTTAAAAATGTGGCCCATAATTTTAGCACAAAAATTCGGTTCCGTAAAACGATATATCCGCATACCTAATATATATACATTTAGTAAATATAATTAGTAAATTTATTATATATATATATATATATATATATATATATATATATATATATATATATATATATATATATACAGTTATATATATAATATATATATGTATGTATAAATATATATATATATATATATATATATATATATATATATATATATATATATATATATATATATATATATATATATATATATATATATATATATATATATATATATATATATATATATATATATATATATATATATATATATATATATATATATATATATATATATATATATATATATATATATATATATATATATATATATATATATATATATACATATTTATATATATATATATAAAAATAAATATATATATATATTTATTTATATATATATATATATAGTTCTTTTTCAGTCGTGTGAGTTCATAGATAAACATGAAAATGCGCCATAAGTAAGTAAAGTTTCACATGCGCATTGCGTTGTTTTCGGCATGGAAAAAAAGTTTTCTAAACGTTTTTTAAAAGGTCCCGTAAACTATGAATTTAAATGATTAAAAAAAAACGTTTTTTAACGTTTTTTGAACGTTTTACTTCTACATGCGTTCTTTTAGCGACCATAAAACGTGTACATAACGTACCTGTGTCTACTGTGTTTGTTCCGTTTAATCATTGCTGGTTATTCGTTTACGACATAAATTTAACTATTTCTTCTTTTATCGTATATTATAATTTCTTATTATTTATTTCAATTGTTAAGATTTCAATATCAATCTCAGAAGCGTTTGAATTTTTTTCTAACATAACGTACATTGATTTATCCTATGCTACATGCTTTTTTCGGAAGATAAAAATTTTATTGTGCTGCCAAGCAAAAATTAATACACGTCCGTTATTTGCGGATACCATAAAATATCCAATTGTACTTTTTTTTTCATCGTATTTTTTTTTGTGGTTTATTTTTCCTAAAGTTTTAACACTTTGTACTTTCAATTGTAACTTAAAATCTGAAGATCAAAAGAGTTTTTTTTTTAATTATATTAGGACAATGTTATATTAACAATTTAACATAGTTATGTTTTTACAAAACTTAGCGCCTCTGCCGTAATGAGTTTTTTGTAAGTATAAAATAAAGTTTGTTTCCAAAATTAAGCCTTAATATATGAATAGGCCTAAGGTATCACATAAACTTCTTTGCATTTTTAGACTCAATACCTTCAATACTTACAAATCCTAAAAGAAAAATTGCGTATAATACTTCGCCGTTAAAAAAATTAAAAATTTACAAAACTAAATGTTTTTGTAATTTTGAACTATAGTAATTAGCCAAACGCACAGTGTCACACAACTTTTTCATATTTTTATATTCGTATATTTTTGAACAGAGTTATTAGGTTATATAAAGCAACTATCTTGCCTTTATAAAATATGGATTGAAAGGTAGCAAAAACTAGTTTTAAAAAAAATATTTCAAAAAATCTCAAAATTTTAAACTCTGATTCCGAGTGAACGAAATATTATTAAAAACCTTTCCTAGCAGATTTTCTCTATATTTTGGTTAATAAATAAAACTCAAACTAAATGAAGCAGGTTACTTTCATTAACTGTCTGATTTTTA